CAACCAGAGTGCGCATTTTGCCAACGTCGGCAGGTGGAAAATAAAGAAAATCATCTTTTCAAGGTTCAACGGTGATCGTAACTCAGATCTGGTTGCTTGGAGCTGCCTGAAGGGGTCTGTCTATCCGGCTATTTCATAAGACCACAGAGAGTAGGTTAGTTTTCTGGCGTATGTCCCGTCCATTGTATGTTTGCATATAGTATTGTTAATCGTTATATATCGGTTGTGCTCTCTATATATCATTCGAGGAGTAAAGTAGACAGAGTTTAGAATTTCGTCTTCGAGATCAGGTTCCAGATAGATGTGGACCACTCGCTGGAGAAAGATGTTGCAAGTGACAGTGGATCTATTTATTTGGAAAAATGCTCGAGGATATAAGGTCCAAGATATGTGAACGATTAGATAGTAATTACTCAAGGGAATGAAATGTCTAAGACTGTTGAGATCCCGCCCTAGTTGAGTAGTGGATTATGGCATAGATCATGCTTAGTATCAATAATGGTTGGATGCTAGGTTCGATGGTATAGGATTTTTCGCTAGAGAGAGATAGATATATGTGGAGGGAAGGTAGGAAAGGGAGGAAGTGTAGGCTTTCTTATATATGGAGAACGACAGTCATTCAATTGGTTATCTATTCAATCGAGGACTAATTCATCGATGCGTTGTCTGGTTGATCACTAATGCTAACCATACAATGGTATTCCAAAGGACAAACATTCAATATGTAGCGAAATGAAGGGCTACACTTCACTATTTCCGGACCGGTTGTCCTTAGGGTTAGACCCGGCGTGCACTCTATAAAAAAAACAAAGCTAGGGGCATCCCAACTAATGAATTATCGATTATTGAATCAGCTAGACATTAGTAAAATGCAAAGTATCTTTCATCAGCAGTACTTTTATCGACAAACTGAATAAGACGAGTCATGCAGTTGGTATCCGGCATCACATAAAAAATTAATCCAGAAATGAAGGCATCATGACAATATTATACACGTCGAAGAAGAAAATATGCTCCTGCTCCTACTAGTATGACTATGGCAGGTTGCCCTATGCGCTGGGCTCAGTCTTGGAGGGGTAGAACCAGGCGGCCACGGCTATGATGAGGTACATCATCATTAACAATACGCCCTCTAACCAGTGTGACTTTCCGTCGGCAATGAGGTAGTTGACCTGCGAGGGTTAGTTGATGCCGACATGTAGCGGAGGGTGAGGAACATACCAAAAGAACAGCCACGAATAGAAGAATCACCTGGAAGGCATCGAAATAGAGAGTCATGTCGTCGTTACCTGCTTCTGTCAGTATCAAACCATATCCGTACAGTCAGTCAAACTTACCCATGCCCCATCCAATCACGATAATCAACGGAAGCACCAATAACGCGATCTGCATGCTGGATCCGACCGCCACACCAATGGCCAAATCCATCTTGTCCTTGCATGCCACAGTCACGGCGGTGGCGTGCTCAGCCGCATTACCCACAATAGGCAGAAGGATCAATCCGACAAAGGTCTCAGAGATGTGGCCTTGCGTTGTGAGGGCGTCGATCGAGTCAACCTACTTAATTAGCTACGTACATAAAGAGAGTAAAGAATAGCTTACCATAAACTCAGCGCACAGAGCAACAAAAACAGTGGAGATAACGAGGGTCAGGACAGCCACGAGAACGCTCAGCTGAGGCTCTTCCTCTTCATCGTCCGGTTCCTGCAATTTCACGTTCTGCGCATGCTCACCCGCCATGGAGGCGGACATCTTGCCGATCTGCGCGATACCACGGCTGGCATCACCTTCGTTCACCTTTTGCCGTCTCTTCTCCACCTTGGGGCTGGGGGCGTTGTAGATCTCCGTGTGCGATTTGAGCTGGAAAAACAGGTAACATCCGTAAACGACCAGCAGAATGACACTGGTGCCTGCAATATGTAAGCCTACATACGACCACTTTTGGAAAGATACATACCTCGTGACAAGGGTGCGACGCCCGTATCGCCAGCTGGAAACTGTTAGCTGCGTCAAACAAACGATTCTTCGAAACTCACCATCGGACCAAGCGTGGAACGCCGTGGGAATAATCAAACTTCCCACGGCCAACGCTAGCAAACTAGCGGCAGTCTGAGCAACCACGGGATTAAAGTGTTGCTCGAGACGGTCGATACCACCAAAGAAGAAGCACATGCCCATGACCAGAAGCAGGTTAGAGAGCATACTTCCAATCAGGGATGTTTGGACGATGGTGACTTCATTGTCGACCAGAGCGATAATGGCAACAATAAGTTCGACCGCGTTACTGCATCAGGTTAGATCAGAAGAAAAGTAGATGGAGAATAGAACTTACCCGAATGACGCATTGAGCAGACCTCCAATTGTCTCACCCGTGCTGTGTCTTCATTAGAATAATCCAGTCAGAACTTTGGATCAACATACCGCATGGCAATCTCTTCTGTCGCGTAACTCAACATGGCTGCAAGGGGACTGTTCATGTTAGCTGAGTAGTCGCACAGGGGGGCGAAGACCTACATGATGGCAATGAAATTAACCACAAAGACAGCCACTGGGCTGACACCATTGACATAATTCAACGCAACTATCAAAGTCAGTACTGCAGCTTCAAACCCTGGTGAGCTACTAACTTCCAACAGGCGCGGCGAGAAGCAAAACATTAATCCAAGAATTGAAGATTGTAGCCTTCAGCTGTCCCATGACGGTGAACTTCTGCTTCTTTTTCATCGGCTTGCCCGAATTAGTGGTCAACTGATCGTCGGCGGGCTTGAAGGTGTTGCTCAAGAAGGTCCTTCTCTTTCGCGGGCCCGGCAGGTCTTCGGACTCATCCTGACGCGGAACATTAATTGGAACTTGACTATGCATGGAAGGGTCGGTGCCGACTTTGTCATTGCTGTCGCGTCCAACCAAATCAGTGCCATCAGACTGAGGAGGGAAGCTGTCTGCATGCTCAGGGCCGACCAGGCCATCGGTCATGTCTCTCCGTCGCCTGCGCTCCTCGGACAGGCGTACTCCGCCTTCGGATAAGACGGGGGTGAGTCGGTTTTCTAGCTGGATAGAATTGGTGCGTCGGGGCTGTCTGCGAAACTTCTTGAAAGGGTTGACCGAGGATGGTTCGCCCTCCTGGTCATACCAGGCCAGTTTCCTGGCATGTCGTTTGTAGATATCTAATGCCAAGATACATGTTAGCGACGGTCGCGGGCGGAAAAGGGGACGAAAGAATACATACGCATGTTAATAGGCGTGAATTATTTATCGATGTTTGAGGGAACAAGAACAATGCAGGGGTCTTGGGATCTATGTACTGAATCATAATTAGGCACCATGTCAGCGATGATATATAAGAGACAAAATTAGAAGAATGATCGACGGAGCCGCGTTGTTGAGAGGCGATGAATGCACATGGCGTCCCAACAGCACGGTACAAGCAGTCATCCATGCTTGGTCCCATAAGCAAGACAAAGAAAAGCAATAGACTCACTGACGTGGAGTAGCCAAGTGATAGACTAGACAACGAAAAGAGCCCTTGTTGGAGGCTCAAGTGTGGCTGAAGTGGATTCGTGAAGACTCCGCCTTGAGTGGCTGTCTAAACTACAGTCGAGCTGGAGGGGGTTCAGATTGGTTTGCGACGAACTAACTGCGCCGTCGGAGATATTCCAAACTGGGTCCGATGCTGATGCGATAATTATAGGAAGAAAAATCAAGAAGCGAAAAGGAGGGACGTCGCGCGCAGCAGCAGCTAGCGATGTAATATATAGAAAAAGCCTAATATTGCGGGAATGCAGCAACACGGGGACTGTGCAATGACAACGGTAAAGAGCGACAACAGAGTCCAAAGCAGGACTGGATGAAAAGAATGACACCTCACAAACTGCAAGGGCAAGTGCCGACAGACACACAGAAATCTCTCACACAACGATTGAAAGGAGAGAACTGCACAGGAGAGTTCCAAGTTAATTGTCGTCACAATCTCTCATTAATTTGATTAGAGTTGCAGCAAATGTCGAGCACAGCCACAAATTACCGCTAGTCTACGCACAGGCAGGCCTCTCATTTGCTGGATCCTCCCGATTGATATTTGATAACCCCCAATTGTCCCCATCGGCAAAGAGGCATCCCGCAAGCTCAGTGGCTACCCAGCTGGCGAGTGGATGGAGCTTTTGGTGATTCCAGCCCCTGGCGCTTCTAGAGAAGGCAATTGACAATCGGAGAACCCCCAACAAAGCAACCCGCCAAGCCCAAAATTGCCTCCGAACTAACGAAATTTGGCTTCGCATTTGCGAGCGGAGTGCAAAATTCATCATCATGATGTCCTGGGTTCTTGGCTGATCCAGGGGCACAAAGAGCACAAAGGGCCCGACAGGAGAAATTTCACCCTCATCGGGCCTCTATTGAAAGCATGCTGCCTGTCTGTCAGGTAGGACAGGAAGGAGATCTATATATATTGGGCAGCAGTATGGCCATCACTAAACGCTGTTGCAAAGTCTCTTTGAAGGTGAAGCGCGACAGAATGGCCCCATTTGCCAGAGGATCGGGTGGTTGTCGTAATCAAAGTCAAAACTTTGGCGAAGCAATTGCGGCCCCCTGGCTTGTTTCGCGCTGCCCCATGTGGTGGCCGCTGATTGGTGAGACTTCTTACTCATATATTAGATAAGCAGGAAAGTGCCTGACCGCCACATCTGTGGCTGTTGGTAACTGAGCCACATGTAACAGCCACAGTATATACAGCACACTGCCACAAGCACCGCCACAAGTAGCCAGTGCTGCTCCCACATGGCTCATAAGTCACTGTGAGGTCAGTCAGTCCCATTGAACATGGCTATCTCTGTCAGTGTGATCCATCTGCCGCCGTTCAGAGGAGGAACCTCGGTTACCCTGGGGATAGAGAAATGCACAAGTTGTGCTACCCAGCTGACATTCTGACCAGGCGTCAACCAATTAACATCTTGTCGATCGGGAAATGCAACTCCGATCACAGTAGACAAACAACAAACCGAAGCGCCGGAAAAGTACGCACCAGGTGCTACAAAGACATTCCATGCAGAGTGGTGACCCTCACCGGTGCAAGGTGAGGACTGCGACAGTTGAATCGGCCGCAGTTGGTCACCATCCCCCAATGTGTGGAGTCACACAACACAGTGATCGTGGCGCCTACAAGCTCCAGCAGAGCAAGCCGATGACGTCCAACGGTGAACGGCAGGCTGGATCGGTGAGGCCGCCCTCCAGCCTCATACCAGATGTGGGGTGATCCCCCTTGCTTTAGAGGGGGTTGGAGGGGAGAATGAGGTCATGGCTACATGACGGATAAATGATGAGGGATGGCAACACCGACAGAGCCACGGTCAGTATGGGTGGACGAACACAGACACCATCGAAGTAATAAGGAGAAGGCAGCAACAGAGAGGGCGAAAGTAACAGGCAGTGGATGGGCTGTTATTGGGTTGACCAGGAAGCCACTGGATGATCTTTCAAAGCTTGGTATCCCGTGTCTTTGTTTCGGCAGCCGATCACAGCTGGTGCTTCCAGATTGGGGACGGGCTGGCTTCGTTTCTTTGTAGTAAGTACGAAGTTCTTTGACTCCTGAGCGCTGCGGCATTTCCAGTCCAACACACCCCACGAGATGGTGCCTCAAAGAGAGGCAGACCATACTACTGTGTAAGCGAGTCACACTCCTGCTCCACGGGAAGCAAAGCTATTGAAGACTGTCTGAGAATGACGGAGGTTTATTTAAGCCGGACAGCGACTATTCTCCTAATTTACGTCAAACACTATAGATAGACACGGCTAATCCGGAAGAATGATTAGAAGCCGTGGGAAGCAAACGTGGATACAGCGTACACCAATGCAGATGAAGCGATGCGAGACAAGCAATGATGAAGCTCCATCGGAGTGGGTAGAAGGAAGAGGAAAACCACTGCAATCAAAACACAAAAGTAATAATAATAAATAAATAAATAAATAAAACATTTGATGAGACGATCAGTTACCATCCATGTTTCATTCTCCTGGACATGAATTGTGGATCCCAGAGTTGGGATTTGTTACCTTAAACTTACCTAGCCTTACATTAGTTTACGGCCCCTCGGGGGTGGTCAGGGCCGCCAGACCCTTAGACCCTGGCAGGGTCCGAGGGTCTTTTCCCTTTCCCCATTACCGTCTGATACACGGTATGGTCAGATTACCACCGCAAAGCCAGCCATTTCGATGCGCTCTTGGCATTCTTGGCAGAGGCCCGCTCGGTCCGGCAGACTCCTCTTTTTGGCAGTGCCAGCGCTGCTTATAGGAGAGGTTTCAGTGGAAGGTGTCAGAAGTCATGGAAATAGTACCAGTGTGTCTGACTTGGTCCATTGGATGTGTCTCAATGTTAGAAGAGTGTAATCAAAACTAACTAACAACTAGATTTCGGGTCTCGAGCAGATTTCCATCTTCCCGTTTCCCATCTTTGGCCCTGAGGATGTGCAGTGAGTGAGCCGACCAGGAGAGAATCCCAATAAGCAGACGCCCCACAGCACGGAGAGGGAGGAAGGGCCTGAGAGGTCAATTCCCCAGCGACAGGGACGGAAATGGCCAGGGGATGAGCCCGGGAGTTGCCCAGTTGGATCGGGTCAGGAACAAGGAACCAGGCTCGGCATGAGTCTGGACCCGTCAGAACACTGTATTACCACCCGTATCAAAACCCCCGCCAGGGTCCTGAGCCAATCATCCCACAGGGTCCTGGGGCTAGTTTCACCCTTTCAGCCCACTCGCTTTCTTTCTCTCCTCTGTTTCGTTCGTTTATCCATGGTCCTTTCCCAGCCAGTTCTGATTTTTTTCAAAGTGGAATTGAATTGGCTCCAACGCCCAAAGAATGCTTGACGGGAAGAAGAGATTCACAAGAAAAAGGCTTGTCTATGGAAATGAGAGACGATCCATGACACTGCCACATGGAAGGGTCAGATGGTAGCATTGAAACTAGTAAATATGGAAGTGAGAAGGATAGTAGGATAGCCCCATGGGCCGGACAATGGATTGTCCACCCTGGAGATCAACATCGACCGGAACTCCAATCACAGTGGAATTTACTATTTTTACAGCGGAGGGCGTCGTAAGCTAGAACATCCGACAGGCACACAGCCAACAACGATGGATACTGATAGTACTCTGATTGTTTGTTAGTGAGTGAGTGAGGCAGGGGCCGGGGCCACTCGCTTCCCCCGTCATTCGCCTCCTCCCCCCCCTTCTGGTACTGGTTATTTCCAAATACCCCCTCCCTCCTCTTCCTTCTCTTCTCTTCTTCTTCTTCTTCTCTCCATCTTCTTTCTTTCTTTCTCTCCTTCCCAGCCACTTCTTCATCATCCATCCAGCCATCGCTATATCCACGGCGCCTTGTTTCAGCCGTCAGTCACTCGTTGTATACTTCTAGACTTTCTTCCTCTTCCTCCCTTGTATTTCAACTCTCCTGTGGAAAGTTGATAACTTGGGAACTGCAGTACTTTCATCTGCAGATTTAGAACCAGCTACATTGAATTCGGACTCTCGCTTCACACATCACTGTTCACATAATGAAGTTCTCTGCTACTACCCTTGCTGGAGCTTCGCTCCTCCTGGGCCGCGCTATTGCTGCGGACCTGCCTGCCATTGAGGCCAAGGTATGTTTCCGCCATCCGCCGCAGGGCTGGAGGTCAAGTTCCTAACTGGTCTGGTTGGCAATAGAGCAACAAGTTCTTCTACTCCAACAATGGCACCCAATTGTAAGTTACCCTGCTACTTGGTGTTTGTTTTAGCCTTCTTACTGACCCATTCTAGCTTCATCCGTGGCGTTGCCTATCAGCGTATGTAGCTCAATTGTCAATGGCGCCTCGACGCGCAGCTAACCCGTTACCAGAGGACTACACGAGCAACGGCACTGACTCTTCCAACGCGGACTACACCGACCCTCTGGCCGATGCCTCCACCTGCAAGCGTGATATCCCCTACCTCCAGCAGCTGCGCACCAACGTGATCCGTACCTATGCTGTCGACCCCACCAAGGACCACACCGAGTGTATGCAGGCCCTGCAGGATGCTGGCATTTACCTCATCACTGACCTGTCGGCCCCCTCGACCTCCATCAACCGGGACGACCCCCAGTGGAACACCGACCTCTACTCTCGCTACACCAGCGTCGTCGATGCCTTTGCCAACTACACCAACGTCATCGGTTTCTTCGCCGGTAACGAGGTCGCCAACAGCCAGAACAACACCAACTCCATTGCCTACGTCAAGGCCGCCGTCCGTGACATGAAGGCCTACATCAAGGCCAAGAACTACCGTTCCTCCCTCGGTGTTGGTTATGCTACTGACGATGACTCCACCATCCGTGACGACCTGAAGAGCTACCTGGTCTGCGGTGACTCTGACGACCGCATCGACTTCTTCGGTTACAACATCTACGAGTGGTGCGGTGACTCTTCCTTCAAGACCTCCGGTTACTCGGCCCGTACCGAGGAGTTCAAGGACTACCCCGTCCCCGCTTTCTTCTCCGAGTATGGCTGCAACAACCCCTCTCCCCGTACCTTCACCGACGTCCCCGTCCTCTTCGGTGACCAGATGAACGACGTCTGGAGCGGTGGTATCGTCTACATGTACTTCCAGGAGGACAATGACTACGGTCTGGTTTCGGTCGACGGCTCTAGCGTCAGCACCCTTAAGGACTTCTCCAACCTGTCTTCCCAGATGCAGAAGGTCACTGCCACCGGTGTGAACAGCAACAGCTGGACCGCTAGCAACACTGCCACCCCTACCTGCCCCAGTGTCGGCACCGCCTGGGAGGCCACCAACACTCTCCCCCCCTCCCCCAACGAGGATCTCTGCACCTGCATGGAGGCTTCTCTGTCTTGCGTCGTCAAGGATTCCGTCAAGGAGAGCAAGTACGGTGACCTGTTCGACTACATCTGCGCCAAGGGTGACTACTGCGACGGCATGTCCAGCAACTCCACCACCGGTGACTACGGTGCCTACAGTGTCTGCTCCACCAAGCAGCAGCTCAGCTTCGTCATGAACCAGTACTACGAGAAGCAGAGTGCCAAGGCCAGCGCTTGCGACTTCAGCGGTGATGGTACCACCACCTCTTCCAGCGCCGCCACTGGCACCTGCTCTTCCCTGCTCAAGGAGGCTGGCACCGCCGGTACCGGCAGCGTTACCTCCTCCCCCACTGGCGGCGGCTCTGTTGCCAGCGCCAGCTCCAGCACCTCCGAGGGTGCTGGTGCCGGTCTCACTGCCCCTAACGCCGTCCAGGTCGGCAGCTGGCAGCTGGGTGCCTACGCGGTGACCGCCGTTGGCGCCGCTCTTGGCATGATCCTGCTGTAAGTGTGAAGCGGAGGTGTGGGGGCCATGGAAGCATGGCCCGTTAGACTGGTGGGGATTTGTTAGCCGTACATAATTGAATCCGTTCTACTTTGTGATTATTCCAAGTAGCATTTAATGCACATATTTTGTATCACTACTTTTGAGCTATCCTTGAAACTGTAACAAGATTATCACTATAACACCCTAGATCGGTATGATGTGTATATGACTGTATGTTAAGAGGTTCTTACCTGTACTATGCAGCTGCAGACACGCGATCCAACTCCCGAAAGTGCATGTCAACGGGCGTCGGCAGCGGATGCCGACTCGGTCAGATGTCTGAACAGACCGAGCGAGCAGTTCGGCCACACAATCGGCAGGCCGAATCGGGCAGAGTCTGCACGAGATATATAAGATAAGAAGTATCGCAGATAGTAGAGTAGATAGTACCCCAAAGATTTCAACTCAATTCCATAATAATACTACATAAAAAAGGGACCCATGCCGGCCATGGCTTCCGATCTCGAATCCAACCCAACTCTACCAAAAGAGGCAAATACACAAACACCAACCATTGACCACAATGACACTCCAAAATCACAACCACCATCAATAATAAACGAAAAGCCCACAGTGACAAGAGGCTATGACCTCCCCTTCTGGCACAAATCCATCATCCTCTTCATTGTCTCATGGATGACCCTGGCGGTGACCTTCAACAGCACCTCGCTGCTCCCCGCCACCCCCGAAATCGCAACCCGGTTCAACACCACCGAGGAAATCCTCAATGTCATCAATGCTGGTGTATTATTGGCCATGGGCTTTTCTTCGCTGATTTGGGGTCCCATGAGTCGCTTAGTTGGCCGTCGCATTTCGTATAACATCGCCGTTTTGGTGCTGTGCGGGTGCTCGGCGGGTACGGCCGCCGCTATCAATTTGCCCATGTTTACGGCGTTTCGCATCTTGGGTGGATTGACGGGCACCTCGTTTATGGTTATGGGGCAGACCATTTTGGCGGATATTTATGAACCTGTATGTCCCTCCTCCCACGGTATTACATTGGTATGTGGTCTGGAAGTGAGCTAATAATGTATGTATGTATAGGTTGTAAGAGGAACGGCAGTGGGATTCTTCATGGTAGGGACTGTTGCGGGTCCGGCTATTGGTATACCTCTCCCTACCTTACTTAACCCTATTCAACTTTATATAGGGCAATTAAGCTAATGAAGTAATCGCAGGCCCCTGCTTCGGCGGCATCATCGTCACCTTCGCCAGCTGGCGCATCATCTTCTGGGTGCAAGTCGCCATGACAGGGTTCGGCCTGATCCTATCCCTGATCTTCGTCCCTGAGATACCCTCAGCAGACGCAAAGATCATCACCACTGCCACTGCCACCACCACCACTCCTCCAACAATGAAAGAGACCACTCTTCGCATCCTCGCCGCATTCAACCCCATCCACATCGTCCGTCTCTTCATCTACCCCAACATCTTCCTCGCCGTACATAACCCCCCTCCCCCAGCCTATCCTATCCAACACAACTAACAAATCTAACAGTGTTTAACATGCGGTTTCCTCTCCACCTTCCAATACGCCATCCTCACCTCCGCCCGCTCCATCTTCAACCCTCGCTTCCACCTCACTACCGCCCTCGTTTCCGGCCTCTTCTACCTCGCCCCGGGGCCGGGTTCCTCGTGGGAAGTGTACTCGGCGGCCGTCTCTCCGACCGCACGGTCCGAAACTACATCAAAAAGCGTAACGGCACCCGTCTCCCCCAGGATCGACTGAATTCCGGTCTGGGGACATTATTCTTCGTCCTCCCCGCCGCGGCGCTTGTCTATGGGTGGACTCTGCAGGAAGAGAAAGGCGGGATGGTGGTCCCCATTATTGCGGCGTTCTTTGGGGGTGTGGGGTTGATGGGCACGTTTAATGGGTTGAATACGTATGCTGCTGGTATGTCTTTTATCCTCCTTCCTTCCTTCCTTCCTTCCTTCCTAGGGTGTATGGTGTACTTGAGTGTGTGCTAATGATGGTTGGCTTTGAATAGAAGCACTCCCCCATCGCCGATCCGAAGCCATCAGTGGGAAATACATCATCCAGTATTTGTTTTCGGCGGGGAGTAGTGCCGCTGTTGAGCCGTTGATTGGGGCGATTGGGGTGGGGTGGACGTTTACCATTTGTGAGTGATCTTTTTTTTTTTTTTTTCCTCCATTCCCTTCGGGTTGGGTTTGATGGTGTGTATGTGTGTGTTTGTGTGGTTGATGGTTGGCTAATTGATGGGTGTGGTGGTGTAGGTGTGTTTTTGTCTATCATTGGGGGCGTTTTGGTGGTGATAATTACCCGTAAGGGGTTGGATATGCAGAGGTGGGTGGAGAGGAGGTGGGGGGAGGCTTGATCTCTCCCTTTCTCTTTCTCTTTCGGTTGTTGAGGGGGGGTGGGGGTAAAGCTAATTACGAGTTGATGTGTTTATGGGTATGGTTTGCATTGGGTATGGTGTTTGGTTTTTGTTTCATAATAGATGGATAGATAGACCTCATACATTTAGATAGATAGACACATAATCTATATACTGCATATGTCCAGTCTGTGTCTGTGTGTTCAGCTATACCCCTGATACACATGCTCCTCATTCATATACGTATCCACCGGATGCAACATGCCCAGATCGAAATCACTCTGCGCCAAAAAGTCCTGCATCGTCGGCTCCATAAACGCCATCGCCGTCGTGAACCCGCTCGTCGCATCTCGTACTACACCCCCCTCTAGCACCCCCGTCGTCACCGGGTGTAGTCCGAACTCTGCTGGTCCCATCGGCCCCTCGGCTATACTATGCGCTGTCAGTGCCGTTTTCGACGACGCTGGAGTCGCCGCCGCCGTGGCCGCTGCAGACGCGGCTGCATCCTTGGCGGATACCGTCCCCGGTCCTATCGCTGCAGCGGCGTTCCGTCGACTGCGGGAATCGCGTCGTCGCTCGCTCAGATATCGGTCCAGGCAGACTTTGACCTGTTCCAGATTGATGTAGAATTCCGATGCCGCTAGATTGCCATTCTCGCTCATTGAGCGCAGCACTTCCATGCCGGTTTCGAAGGCCCCGAGGTCTGCTGGGTTGCCGACGGGCGTGAAGCTGGACATGGCCAGCACGAGTGCGGAGGAGAAGAGGTAGTGTGCGTGGAAGAATCCGAAGGTTGGCAGTGTGCCGTTGATCCATCGAGTTAGGATAATCGAGTGTGAGTGCCGTGCGGCGTGGATGCAGGCTTCGCCGAGTGTGAGCACCGGCTGGGAGATCTCTTCAATGTCCTCTGGTCGGGCTCCGTCCGCTTCGCTTAGTTTGATCAGGATGTGGAGCAGTGTTGGTCGGGTTGTCAGAATCACACACTAATTTGCGGTCAGTTCTTTGATCGATCTTATGGGAACTGGAATGATGTACTTGGTTGAATGAGAGATGCAGCGAGCCTACTGGTGTCCGACTCATCTCTGGCTCCACCTGGTCCAGTCGCAGATGCTCGGGCAGGGTTTCCACCCAGTTCTTCAGCGCTTTCAAGAGCTTCTGCACCCTCTGCAGGAATGTTTCGCTGTACTTGCGGCGACTGTACAACTTGGCGATCGTCTCACCCACGATCCGTGCCAAGCTGATGTTGGCCTTGAGATAGTCGGTATCGGAGAACTGCTCCTCCTGTAACTGCGCCGGGGTCACGTTGGACGGCATGTCTAGGTGGATATCATCATCCAAAATCTGTGACGGTAGGCCCATCTTCGATCCCCACATGCGGTCGAAGATGTAGATGGTCCACCAGATGCGCACCCGGTGCTGCCTCTCGATTGGATCGATCAGTTGCGACTCAGGGACATTGTGGTTCATTCCAATCGACAATCCCAAGCGCATGGCACTCCCAATCAAAACATATGCTGAATGTCGTCGGTTCAGATAATACGAGAATAGAGACAGCAACAGCAGTGTCTCCAAATGCGTGATACTCGTCCTCTCCGGTAACACCTGCACCAAGCTCAACGCCCGCGCAAAGTACTTGGTCCCCGGTACCCTAGAACCCGAGGATGGCTCATTTCGCATGGAGTAGGCCTCTCCAAATGCAAACAGAGCAAAGAACTTGCACTGGTTGACCTTGCACTCAAAGTCGCCCGTTTGGTATATCTCCTCGAGCTTCTCTAGCGTCGACTTCCGCAGCACCAGATGGTAAATGAAACCAATCTGCCGCAGCGCAATCTTCAACAATAGCCGCGCCTGGTGCAAACTCGGCCACCAGATATCCCCCGTATTAGCCGCGGCGATATTCTCATCCCGGACATACTGCGTGCGCGTAATATGCGCTGTCGCATTACTCCCCGTCAAGAAGCGCCGGAAGCGCGTCGCAAAAGCCGTGCATGCCGCCTCACCCACGAAAATCGGCGGTGCAGACGGATCGTATGGGTGGAACCAAGCCCGGTCCCCAATCAAAGGATTGCGCACGTTGGGGTTATTGCTTTCCGCTTCATCTGGCGCCTCTGCCGTTCGCGACGGGCCGCCGCCGCGCCCGTCTTCGGCCTCGGTCGTGTTGACCGAGGGGGTCGGTTGTTCTCGCAGACGTCGAAGCTCAGCCTGCAGTTCGTGCAGATAACTGTGGAAATTTCGATCAGTCTAATTCCCGGCTACTATAAAAAGTCATGCATGACGTCCTTCCATCCCCGAACATCGTGTGAGTCACAAACAAGAGTGTTGGACATACCTCTCGCTCACTTTGACCTGACGGTCCCGAGGTGCGTATTGGCACTCATCGGCACAGCCAACCTGACGGCATTTGGCGCAGGGCTGGTCGCCCGAGCATTTGATTTTGTGTGCATGACATCGTTGGCAACTGAATTTGCACGATGAAATTAGCAGTGATGCTTAGATATTGCTGCTGTGCGTGAGGGCCACAGTAGAAGGCTCAACTTACGCAACAAACTTCCTCCGTTTTGGGCATTCGACCTCTTCGGTCGCTCTGGAATGTTTTCTACGGTTCATGAGTCATGACGATGCCCGATTTGATGTATCAGGTTCCTGAAGTTGTCCGCGAAAGACAAGTAGATAACTGATGCAGGAGTATATTCTGATGAAGTGGACGATGAATGAGTGATGGATCGAGTTGTTCGGACTGTCGGCGGTCGGTTCAACAGCGCCGAGCCTCAGGCCGAGATGTCGCTTAGATAAGAATCAACACAACACAGCAGGAGCATGGATTAGTTGGGCATTTGTACATTTCAATGATGAAACTACTAATAGATAGACTTGATACATGGTAGATATACATAATCTAATGGTTTGGTAGAGGTCTAGCATGAAATACTACTAGCAACATTCTCCATTCCTGGGAAATAGTATTAGAAAGCACGGACATGATGAGATATATATATCTGCTGGGCCATTTACTAGTGTCACTGAGTGCTATATATTTTCAAAACTTCAACTAGTACTTACTCTTTAGTAGCCTCATGCTTGTATAACCTACTACGTACTAGTTCTACTATGGACAAGCAAATTCGAATTACTTCCTAAGCGCAATTCAGGTTAGCGCGTCCTACTCCACTGTCACTGTCAAGTGCCCATCTACAAACTTCGAACCGAGTGGAGCCTCGAATAAAGATCGTCTCGGGCGAGTTTCAACCGGTTTTGAGGGCGCACACGAAGCAAGTCCGCGACCAACACGTGCATTCTACACCTGGAAAATCACCACCTCCCACCTCTTGTGGCGTTACTGCAGCGCAAATGCAGTGTCAACGCGCCAAGGGCGCCACGGCGATCCTCGTAAGCCTTCTACCTTGTAAAAAGCCGCTTAGCGGAAAGCGTCCTTCCACCACTCCAGGTTATGATCTCCGGCACTCGGCCGTTGTGCGGACACGGGAAATGTTGTGTAATCCGAGGCAACACCAACATTGAGCCCAGGCAGAAAGCCCCATTTGGACTTGTCAACGGATATTTCCGAGCGATATATAAATCCGGCACACCCGATCAAAGTTTCGCAGCCGCTCCGGAAAAGTATCTTAGACGTGTCACACAGCCGCAGGCAGGGAAGGGAGGGTGCGACAGGCGGGTAAAAGATCGGGCCCCGTGTTGATGACCATTGCTTCAATTGTGTCCAATTCAATTGGCCGAAAGGAAGGAGGAAACCCAAGCAGTAGTGTAAGCCTGACAGGGACCGGAGTCTCGATTGAATGCAGTTCGCTCAATGTGGCCTAAGGGGCAAAAAGCAAGATTAGTGTAGAGTTAAAAAGTCGGGGAGCTGAGAAAGAGCGACAGTGGCTGCCCGCAAGCGTGCGCGCTAACGCGGGTCTATCTATGCGGATTTAATTTCCAGACCCCGAAGTGCGCGTAACCCATCCAAGCCTTGTCCAACAGGAATTCGTGTGCGTACCTCCCACGCTGCGTGTTAGGGACCTGAAGAGAGAACAGGGGCTGTAGATCATCCACAATTATAGACAAGCCAAGCAAGAAATAAATCTACCGATCGCAGAGCCCACAGGACAGTTGGGAAGCATCGAGCATCGGGTCCACCCCCGGGCGGTTGCAAGGGTGCTAATTCTGGGAAAACCGGTTGAGACTGGAGGTAAGATCAGGCTGAAAGTCTGGAAGACCTTGGTTAGCGCATTGGCGAAAGGGATATCCGGGATTTGTGTGCCGGTGCCACAGGGGAGGAGGAGGAAAGGAGACTACTAATTAGTAGCGAAGCGATGCTGGAAGCTGGCTGGCAACAATGCAGCTGAACCCGACTGGCCTCGTCGCCACCTTGCCTTCTTAAGTCCTCTCCTCTCTCCTCCCTCTCTGCGATCTCATCGGCGAGATCGCGCATCGGGATCTGGCATCCAGATTCGTGCCCTTGCTTCATCAATCTCTCTGCGATGCTCCAGGAGGAAAAACTGTTGGTCCGCGTGCAGGAAAGAGGGTCGCAGAGTCAGCCACATCCCCATACGGAACCATTTTCCATGCCAATCGTGATGGCGGTTCCGAACTTCAGAACTACTTAAGTAAGTCTCGGCCGATGGAACGAAGCATATTTCAATGGTCGACTGCCCCCCAAGTGAATGATTCGCATATTCTGGTTCAGTGAACGTTGACATTCCTATCCCTCCCTCCCTTCTGCAAAGTCATGCGAGCGGAAAGAGAATGGCGGTTGGGGGAAGTTGAGTTGGCCCTGCTGGTCAGGCAGACAAACCAGTCAACTTCCTTTCTCTCCAATAATCTCCTCCCTTTCCCGATCTT